AGCCATTAACCAGACTCATCAAGAAAAAGAGGGAGAGGACTCAAATCAATAAAATTAGAAATGAAAAAGGAGAAATTACAACAGACACTGCAGAAATACAAAGCATCCTAAGACACTACTACAAGCAACTCTATGCCAATAAAATGGACAACCTGGAAGAAATAGACAAATACTTAGAAAGGTATAACCTTCCAAGACTGAACCAGGAAGAAATAGAAAATATGAACAGACCAATCACAAGTAATGAAATTGAAACTGTGATTAAAAATCTTCCAACAAACAAAAGTCCAGGACCAGATGGCTTCACAGGTGAATTCTATCAAACATTTAGATAAGAGCTAACACCCATCCTTCTCAAAGTCCTCCAGAAAATTGCAGAGGAAGGAACACTCCCAAACTCATTCTATGAGGCTACCATCACCCTGATACCAAAACCAGACAAAGATACTACAAAAAAAGAAAATTACAGACCAATATCACGGATGAATATAGATGCAAAAATCCTCAACAAAATACTAGCAAACAGAATCCAACAACAAATTAAAAGGGTCATACACCATGATCAAGTGGGATTTACCCCAGGGATGCAAGGATTCTTCAGTATACACGAATCAACCAATGTGATACACTATATTAACAAATTGAAGAATAAAAACCATATGATCATCACAATAGATGCAGAAAAAGCTTTTGACAAAATTCAACACCCATTTATGATAAAAACTCTCCAGAAAGTGGGCATAGAGGGAACCTAGCTCAACATAATAAAGGCCATATATGACAAACCCACAGCAAACATCATTCTCAATGGTGAAAAACTGAAAGCATTTCCTCTAAGATCAGGAACGAGACAAGGATGTCCACTTTCACCACTATTATTCAACATAGTTTTGGAAGTCCTAGCCACGGCAATCAGAGAAGAAAAAGAAATAAAAGGAATACAAATAGGAAAAGAAGATGTAAAACTGTCACTGTTTGCAGATGACATGATACTATACATAGAGAATCCTAAAGATGCCACCAGAAAACTAGCAGAGCTAATCAATGAATTTGGTAAAGTTGCAGCATACAAAATTAATGCACAGAAATCGCTTGCATTCCTATACTCTAATTATAAAAAATCTGAAAGAGAAATTAAGGAAACACTCCCATTTACCTTTGCAACAAAATGAATAAAATACCTAGGAATAAACCTACCTAGGGAGACAAAAGACCTGTATGCAGAAAACTATAAGACACTGATGAAAGAAATTAAAGATGATACCAACAGATGGAGAGATATACCATGTTCTTGGATTGGAAGAATCAACATTGTGAAAATGACTATACTACCCAAAGCATTCTACAGATTCAATGCAATCCCTATCAAACTACCAATGGCATTTTTTACAGAACTAGGACAAAAAATCTTAAAATTTGTATGGAGACACAAAAGACCCCGAGTAGCCAAAGCAGTCTTGAAGGAAAAAAACGGATCTGGAGGAATCAGATGCCCTGACTTCAGACTACACTACAAAGCTACAGTCATCAAGACAATATGGTAGTGGCACAAAAACAGAAACATACAGCAATAGAACAAGATAGAAAGCCCAGAGATAAACCCACGCACCTACGGTCAACTAATCTATGACAAAGGAGGCAAGGATATACAATGGAGAAAGGACAGTCTCTTCAATAAGTGGTGCTGGGAAAACTGGACAGCTACATGTAAAAGAGTTAAATTAGAACACTTCCTAACACCATACACAAAAATAAACTCAAAATGGATTTGAGACCTAAATGTAAGGCCAGACACTATAAAACTCTTAGAGGAAAACATAGGAAGAACACTCTTTGACGTAAATCACAGCAAGATCTTTTTTGATCCACCTCCTAGAGTAATGGAAATTAAACCAAAAATAAACAAATGGGACCTAATGAAACTTAAAGCTTTTGCACAGCAAAGGAAACCATAAACAAGACGAAAAGACAACCCTCAGAATGGGAGAAAATATTTGCAAACAAATCAATGGACAAAGGATTAATCTCCAAAATATATAAACAACTCATCCAGCTCAATATTAAAGAAACAAACAACCCAATCCAAAAATGGGCAGAAGACCTAAATAGACATTTCTCCAAAGAAGACATACAGATGGCCAAGAAGCACATGAAAAGCTGCTCAACATCACTAATTATTAGAGAAATGCAAATCAAAACTACAATGAGGTATCACCCCACACCAGTTAGAATGTGCATCATCAGAAAATCTACAAACAACAAATGCTGGGGAGGGTGTGGAGAAAAGGGAACCCTCTTGCACTGTTGGTGGGAATGTAAACTGATACAGCCGCTATGGAGAACAGTATGGAGGTTCCTTAAAAACTAAAAATAGAATTACCATATGATCCAGCAATCCCACTACTGGGCATATACCCAAAGAAAACCATAATTCAAAAAGACACATGCACGCCAATGTTCATTGCAGCACTATTTACAATAGCCAGGTCATGGAAGCAACCTAAATGTCCATCAACAGACGAATGGAAAAAGAAGATGTGGTACATATATACAATGGAATATTACTCAGCCATAAAAAGGAACGAAATTGGGTCATTTGTTGAGAGGTGGATGGATCTAGAGACTGTCATACAGAATGAAGTAAGTCAGAAAGAAAAAAACAAATATCATATATTAACGCATGTATGTGGAACCTAGAAAAATGGTACAGATGAACCGGTTTGCAGGGCAGAAGTTGAGACACAGATGTAGAGAACAAACATATGGACACCAAGGGGGGGAAGCCGCGGGGGGGTGGGGGTGGGATGAATTGGGCGATTGGGATTGACATGTATACAGTGATGTGTATAAAACTGATGACTAATAAGGACCTGCTGTATAAAAAAATAAATAAAATTAAGTATTTTTAAAAAAAAGTTCCAGTTGCTTTTAGGGCAAAGCCACATTATCTTTATCTGTATAATCCCCTTTACTGCCTATACAGTGCCTTATTATTAGCAGCTCTTCTATAAATGTTTGTTGATTGAAGGCATTTTTCCATGAATAATTTCAGAAAAAGAAAACAGAATTATGCTTACTAGTTTTGATGTGTATTCGTGGCTTCTTAATTATACTCAAAAATATAGTAGAGAAGAGAAAGTTAAGGATCTCAAAAGAAATTATTATGCATAATATACAACTCAGGAATACAAGGAAGCTTGTCTGGAAAACGTTTGTTCTAGTCTTAGTTTTCACTTTTGTTTCCTCCAGGTCATGTGGGGTGCAGTTTTAAGGCAAATGCAGAAAGAGTTACAAGACAGGAGGAAAGTTCTTTCAGAGAAAAGCAAAAATAAGAAGGGGAGGCTACCTCTTTGTTCTTCCTCCCTGGCTTTTAGGTTATCAAGGGCAACAGCAGGCTGGCTGCAGAGCCTGACCTCTTGCACAGCGCCACCCAGTGGCCTAGACTGTGAACTTGTTTTTATTTTGCCAAAGGTTGAAAAATTAGAAATTCCGAAGTTGTGAACAGATTTGACAAGTCATTACTCATATTTATGGGAGGGTATAAATGCTAGCTAACAAGTCACTTGGATATATTTTATTTCAAAGAGGACATCTCCTATCAAAAATGGCCGTGTCTTTGCTTCTGCACAAGTTACCTAGTGAGTTGATATACCTGAGTGTCTGGTGAGGGAGCCACAGCTGTGCCCACAGCTGCCCACTCTCCCAGAAGTTGATAATGAATCAAATCCTGGCTGTGCCCAATGGAGGTCTGGAGAAGAAGCTGGAGGGCAGCCTTCTGATGGGCACTCTACTATTTTCATTTAAAGGAGCATGTTTGAAAAAAGTTAAGAACATGGTTTCAAAGTAAAGATGAAAAAAACATTGTAGATTATGACTTTTTTCTTAAGCAAGCTTTTCATTCCTCTGCACGCTGGTAAAATTCAGGCCTGGCAACCACACTCTTTTAGCTTGCAGAGGCCCCATGCCAGACACACTGCCAATAATTTCACGAGGGATGTGGAAAGAAAAAGAAATTATGAACAATGATACAGAGGTTTCTCTGCCTCCTTTCTTAAAAGCATATCTGCAGCTGTTTCCAGGCATAGCCTCAAAAACATAAAGCCCTTGAGAGGAGTGCTATGGGAAGATTGAGTCTGCTGCCCAGCCAAAGGCAGAAGAATCCCAGAGAAATCAAAGGAGCTTGACCCAATTAGAATCTACTTGGTGAAACAGCAAAGACCAGGATGCTCCATTTTTTGGCTCTAGCTTCCTGCTCCTGCATGAGGACTGACCGAGCAACTACACAGAGGCTGACTGTAAGTAGACAAAGGCTGTGTATATAGGCCAGAGACAGACCTGTTCCAAGTAGGTTAGGAGAGCAGTGGGCTGGGGTCGATGACTAGGTGGGAAGTTGGACCAGCTGACCTCTGAGGACCCCATGATTGGATGACTTTGATTGGCCCCAGTCCCATTACTTGAAATAATACATAAATAGAAATAATCTTCCCAATAATTCTAGGTAAACTGAGATCATCCTAGAGTGTTTAGCATAAACTGATAATAACATCTGTTTTATTTATTTATTTTTTATTGGATGCACTGTGTATCTTGCAGGATCTTAGTTCCCTGACCTGGGATCGACCCTGTGCCATCTGCAGTGGAAGAGTGGAGTCCTAACCACGGGACTGCCAGGGAATTCCCAAAATACGTTTTTATAAATGGAAGAATGAAGGAAGCAGGCAGGGAAAATGAGAAGTCTAAGAGGTGATGTTATAGAAAGTGTGTGTGTGTGTGTGTGTGTGTGTGTACACACATGTATATATAGGCTGATGCTGTGCAATTAGATGCAAAAGAAACAATCACTTTCCTTTTCTTGAACTTAGCTGAATAGACTTTTATACCTGCTCAAAGTTCAAAATGTTAGTAGTGCAGCCCTGGCAGGATTTAGACACGAAATGGAAAACCCCAGCAGAGCTTGTAAAAGCATCAGATTCCAGGGCTGTCAGGGAGGTTCCAAGTACCTGTTTTGGTCAAAGGGATTGAGAAGAGTTGCTGAAGAAGCTGGTTTTCCGATGTCCTCAGTACGACAACCACATCGGCAGGGAGAGTGTCTCTGTTTTTCTCAAGAACCCCAGAAGCATCATATAATACCTGCAACACGAATAGTAAAGCACAAGTGAGCCAATACCAACCCCATCACTGGCAACACAGGCACACTGTCCGAGGTCAGTAATTAATCAACCTCTGTATAGAATTCATCTTGACACAGCCATGCTTTTAAACCCAGACCACCATATAATGGGGGAAAATTGTAATTTTTGAGAGGCCAGTTTATCTTAACCTCTTGTTCAATTATTCTTTGAAGAAGAGTCCTGTCAAAGATATATCACATCAGAATAATTGTATCAGGCACTCACAATATGGGAAGCACCCATCATATGAGGTTAACACTGTTATTATCTCTATTTTACTGTGGGCAAACAGAGGCTTAGAGAGAGGCTGAATAATGTGCCATGGTCACACGTGTCACCAGCGGTGGGCAGGTATCCCAACCTGGGCAGGTTGGCTCCACGCTCACAACCACTGCACCCTCACTCTTCCCAAGGTTCTCGTGGCACCCGAGTGATGGCTCAGGGATTCTGAGCAGTTCTCGGTTCTCAGGACAGAGGGGATCCAGGTCAGTGCAATTTTAAGGGATGTTCCAATGAAATAAGTGTTGAGTGACAAATGAATTCAGGAAAAGACACAGAGCCCAGAAGGAAAAGGATCCTATTTTTCCTTTAAAGTCAAGAAAGGACAAGAGGGAGAAAGAGGGAAGAAGAGGGGTGGGTAGGAAATAGGTGAAAAAGGACAGAGAGATGGGAAGAGAGGTGTGAGAAAAGGGACAGGAATGGAAGGCAGAAGAGCAGAGAAGAAGGGGGACGCGGGGATCAGGGTAGATGTCATACGCAGTCGGGCTTCAATGCTAAGGTAAATTAAGTTTTTAAGGGCGAAAACTGGATTGCAATTTCTAGCAAAGATCCAAAATAGATACCATGATGTATTATATGGAGGGAAGAACCACCTCTTCGCTTGTATTAGACTGCCTTTTAACCAATCTCCAGTCAGGCAAAATTAATTTCCATGCCATGATGTGAACGTGAAAAATAATTTCAGTAAGTCTCAAATCAACAAAATCATCAGAAATACCTTTAGTGAGCTCCTATCCATTTTCTGGACCCAGGGCCTCAGCAGACCCTGCGAGAACCAATTAGCCATAATTCACGCCGCTCCTCTGAGAGTAACGTGCGCAATGAATTGTTGGCTACGGGGGGAAAGAATTTCCTCAATCACTCACTAATTCGCTTCAGGAACTTGAAATTGAGACTCAGGCATAATGGGTGAAAAATGGAAATTTCAGTTAATGTTGTAAAAGCTTAACATCTGGATGATGGAGTTTTTTGTTTTTTTTTTTTTTCATCTAGACATTTTTGGTGCCCTGTAGACACACACTTGGGCTACGAAGTGCTAAAAATTGAGTCCCACTGTGATATTAACCCTCCTCCATTACCTACACATCTCCAAATGACTTTTTTTTTTTTTTCCCTCCAAATGACTTTTGAATGTGAACATTCACCACTAAACGCTGCAAAAGCTGTAATATGTTTTCTTTCTGGAGAGCTGTCACTTCTAGGCCAAACCTCAGGTGAGAAGCAGATGGCAGCTCTGTGGGCCACCCCAGCGAGAAAGTGCTTCTTTGCCAGAGGCTACTTTCTGTGAGCAACACCACTGAGAAAGTTTGGGAATTATGATTAGGTATTCAAGAAGAATTAAAAGGAGAAAGGAATCTGCAAGCAATTTCATGAGGCCACAAACAGGGTACGATTGACACTTACCCCTTGTCAAGTTCAGGTTTAATAACTGACGTGTCTCACCTTTCCAGCAAAGTGCTGAATGCCAAAGCACAGCTCCATTCCTTTGGGCCTCCAGACGTATTTGCATCGGAGATTATCTTCAAATTTATCTGTGTGGATTTTCATGTTTAAAAGTTACAACGTGAACTATTTGGTCCTTCAGACAAAAGTGTGCTCCTCGAACCATGATGACCCAGAATAAGGAATTTCAGAGTAGCCTGATATTATTCTTGTATGTGCAGTGATGGAGAAAGATTCCCCCATGTGACAGGCATTTACAGCTGAGTTCTCATTTACTTGTTTCATGTTGTCTTTAGTGTCAGGCTGTTCCCTACGGTATCATGCTCTGCTCTGAGAACTCCTAGGATGAACACTGATGCCACCAGGAGACCAGCTAATTAGCTTTAGAACTATGAAGATATTCCATGGAAGGCAAATAACCCTGGTTTATACTCTTCTTGGCAACTTGTGACAATTTTATAAATAAAAGGAAGTCACTTGAGGGTGACAATCTCAACTCCTAGAAGTGAATCTCTCCCACAGATCAAACTTCCATCTGGGAAAAAGGCTTGAAACTTCGTGTTCCTCCCTCTACAAATAGTTTTGCTTTTGTTGTGACTGACGACCTACTACTCTGTGTGAGGAACTGTGCTAACTAGTAAAGGGATGCAAGGGTTGGGGCTTTGTTGCCCAAGGATCTCACAATGTAAGTGAGAGACAGGACCATGTGCAACACTGAAGATTCACGAAGAAGGAGGAGTAGGTCAATAGGTATAGGGGTAAAGCACAGAGGGCCTTGAATGCCAGAAGGAGGTGTTTTACTGTCACTTCATAGATAATGGTAACCTAATGAAAAGGTAGCTTTAGGAAGACTAAATCAGCTGGGATGTCCAGGGTAGAGGGGGAGAATATGAGCCTGGAACCCAGGAGACCAGCAGGGGCTTCTGTACAAACTTGGACTAGAGATGGCTGGGCGTCCAGGTGGAGATACGAGAGAAGGACATGAGAAAGGAGGGGAATCAAGTCCTGGTTATGGGAAATAAGGGAGCAGAAGGTGGAAAAAATGATATTGACATAGGGTAAAGGTATTTCCATTTGCAGAAATAGGAAAGTGAGCAAGGTCTGAGAGATGGTGACAGGTTTGCCGTCAAATTCTACCAGGACATGTCCTGAACATTCCAATTCATTAAAAGCAGGGTCTATATTTTCACAATCACCGGGTAGCCAAAATACACAGGAAAGATTCCTTAAACCACATTCATTTGACAACGTGAGCCCAGTAGCCAAGTTCTCTTCTGCACGTATATGCCTTTTACAAAAGGTACCTACCAACCAGGGTCTGGTCCGTTGCTTGGGGAAACCTACTTTCCTCATCCAGAAGTGCAAGCAGTCCCAGAGGCTTCTGGAGGAACATATCCAAGAGGGGGCGATTGTCCTCGTACTCCACGGGTGTCACGTCAATGCCCTCATTCTGATACTCCATCTGGAAGGAAACGGATTGTGAATCTCTCCAGCCCAAAACTGGCCTAGGTACCACCAGTTTGCCTGCACTTTTTTGTGTCTGGCAACACTGAACAGGGTGTATTTTATTATGTGAGTAGGACAGGGCTCTTCTGCAGTAGGCAGGTGAAGGTGGCGAGAGAAGGGATGGCTCTCTGTCTCCCAAACACTGACCTGGGGACTCAGAATTGAGAAACTGATGTAGAAAGAAAGGGAAGCTGAAAATTTTTTATTTTAGTGACAAGTAAGGTTTAAACCAGGAAGAAAGCAGATTTCTATCTTCTGCAAAGGATTCTGCAAAGGAATCATCTCAGACTAAAAAACTAGAAAAACTCCAGATATCCCAGGAAGATAAACGGAAGGAAACTGGACTGAAATAACGTCTAGTTTTGTACAAGTGAGCGGGGAGAAGAGTGCGATACAGATTTATCCAGTTCCAGTGATAAAACCAATACTGGTACTTTTAGTCCCTGTCTTTGTGTTTATCTAATCATAGTAGTTTGTGTGTCCTTGCTCCTGTATTAAAACAAGGAGCTTGGTCAGAACGTTTAGTTTGTGCAACTACATAATCCCTCTTCATACAGGAGAGTCTTGGGGTTGGGGTACAGGATGTGGTGGAGGAGAAGGGCCCCTAGCCTTTGGGTCCACTAGCTTCACATCCTGTTTTATTTACCATTAAACAGGGGAAAGATTTCCATTTTGAGAAAACCAAGAACATCTCTTATTCCTCCCTGAAGATACCCAACCACTTCTTGTGGGGTCTGGTGTGCAAAAGAGGGGATGGGGATGGGCAGTTTGGGAGTTAAGAACAACAAGAACCTGTGTCCTGAGTTCAAGATCATCCTGAGTCATTTTGGACATGATCATAGATATTTTTAGTTAAATAAAGCAGAAGAGAATGTAGCATTCTGAGCAATGCACATGAATCAGTTTGGAAACAACATTTAAATAATTGGCTTGTCACCAGCTTCACTCAAGGGAGGAAATGTACCTTTCCACAGAAATCGAGACCTCTTTTTTTCCAGACTAAATTTAGACTGTTGAGTTATTTTGACAGGACTGCCTCACCAGTGGGGTTTTTTTTTTTTTTTTTTACACCTTTACTGGAGTATAATTGCTTTACAATGTTGGGTTTCTGCTGTATAACAAAGTGAATCAGCTATATGCACACGTATATCCCCATATCCCCTCCCTCTTGCGCCTCCCTCCCACCCCTCTAGGTGGTCACAAAGCACTGAGCTGAGTCACCAGTGGTTTTTCTTTGGAGTCTTTGGCTTGTTAACCTAACAGGGTTTCTGCTTCAAACTCTGAGCAGCCTGAAGCACCTTTCCCACCAGCCCTAGTGCCTTCAGAGTTCACTGTTACCTCCTCAAGAGCAAAAACGTGCTGATTGAAATAGTATTGGATTTGCTCATTGGCGATGTTTATGCAGAGCTGCTCAAATGAATTTCTCTGAAAGTTCTCGAATCCAAAAATATCCAAGATCCCCACGTTCATACCACCGTCTGAAGTACTGCATGAGAGAGAAGAATAAAACCTTTTAGGGGAGGAAACAGCCATCTCAGGACAGTGAGAATATACGTGCCTGCATTTTGTCAACACATGTAGCCACTCAGGGAAATCGGCATCCTGCCACCTTCGGGGGAGAAACTGTGTGTTAAACCATTGGCTCCTTGAGTTTTTCAACAGTACTTCCAACTTCTTGTTTTAAAGCAGCAGAATCCTTTCAAACCTTCCTCAGAAGCTCCATTTATAAAGAGATTAAAGAGGAACCACTCTGTTTGAAGGTGCTGGAGCTGCTGCTCATTTATTCTACTTTCTCACACACAAAGCTTAATTGGAAGAAGACTCTAGAGTTTGATGTTGTCAATTCTTCCACAATCTAGAAACCACTAATGCTCAGCAAAGAAAAAGCTGTAGTAGTAATAATACTGTGAGATACTGTGCTTTAAACACTTTTCATGAAATGTCTTAGTTGATTCTAAAAGCAACACTATGATGAGGATATTATACTCATTTTACAGATGAGAAAACTACAACCTAGAACATGCACTGATGAAGCTGTGAAGCTTGGATGCAAACCCAGTTTTCCCAGCTCCCAGCCAAGACTGTTCTCTTGAACACTGCACCGTAACGGCTCCGTCAATCATGAGCCTCTCGGGTATAAACACTGCACCTTTTAAAGGAGATGGCCTGAGATCTTCACTAAAGAAAACCCAAGAGAGAACCAAATGCTTCCTCTTGCAATCTCTAAGAGACACTGAATGACAACTCTCCCCAAGGCCTCTGCTCTCCTGGGGAACTTACCGTAAGTTTTTGTCTGGCTGCAGGAGTGTATTGATGCGATTTACAATCCAGCTGAAAAGCCTCCCATACAGGGCTTTGGACATGGCATCTCGGACATCCAAGGCCCTGTCGACAGTGTTGGCACGGATGATGGTCTCACCCCGGGTGACCACGCAGTGTGAGGTGAGGGCCTCCTGGAGCTCTTCAGGGCTGATACAGAGAACCGAGGCAGCTAGAAGAGAGGGTAGGGATGATGCCGGAGAATGCAGACATCCATCTATCCATCCACCCATACATCCACTCATCTAGCCAGTATTTACTCAACACCAGCTACATGCCAGGCTCATCCTCAGCACTTCAGGGCCAAGGATAAACAAGCCGGGTCCTTAACCCCAAGAAGCACCCAGACTGATGCAATACCTCCCAAACTGTTCTGAAAACTCTTCACACATGTTAGATGAAGAAAATGCGGAAGGAGGTGGTCTTTGGCCAAATAAGTTGGAGCAGTTGCTGGAGAGTACCGTCTGCTCTTAGAGAATCACAAAGCACATTAGTATACTAAAGACCATAAAAAGGGCCACAGTTTAACACAAAAGGTGTTTATTTAAATCAGTTTTTTCCTAACTCAGCGTTCTCATTCCTTGTGCCACCACTATTACCTGTGGAGCTTTAAAACTAAACAGGTGCCAACTCTGTCCCCTGCAGATGCTGATCCAGAATTTAGAGTGAGGTCCAACCTCTCGTACTTTTTTCAAAAATTTGTAGATGATTTTCAAAAGCAGCCACTGGTGAGAATCACTGCCCAGAGTTACCTGGCATGGAACTCTTTTCTGAAGAACATCTATTTGCCACTTATGAAAAGAACACTGATGTTCTACAAGACAGCCTCTGGGAAATACTGGTTAGTGAAAACACCCAGAGCCAGCTGAACGACCAGCAACAAAACACCATGTTTCAGAGTCTTGAAAAACTCCCAAAGTAAAAGAAATGTGTACTTTAGCCACACGGTGCACAGGCGTCAAATAATTACCATTTTCCAAGGCTTCTGCGTTGGGCACCTCACTTTTATCAGTTTGATGTTGAGAGGAAATCGCTGCAAACTCAATGTTTCCAATATTCAAAATCCCAGCCAAAATTCTGTACACCGAGTGCACCTCCTGAGAAGGACATCAAGAACCATGTTTGGTCACTGCCAGTCAATTAGATCACTTGTGCTGTGGTGCAAACTGCTAGCTGTCCACCAACGTCCATCCTCCCCCTTCTCCTGGGCACACAAAAGATTTTCCAAGCCTCCCTTGCAGTTAGGCCATGTAACTAAATTCTTAAGAAAGGAGCAAGCAGAGCAACGTGGGCCATTTCCAGGCCTGCCTTACAGAATGGAGCCTGCCTTCTCCAAGCATTTTGTCCGTTATTGCTGGATGGAGCTCCCAGCAACCCAGCCTCAACCGCACCACTGACTAGGGGGCCTGAGACCGATGACCTGATGGACCAGTGATGTTGTAAAACCTGAAACTCTGGCCTTGGAATGCTTACATTAGAGAGAACTGATCTTCTTTGTTCTTTCAGCCACTTTTAGCCTTTCACCCTAACTAATACCAGCTCCCAAATTCACGTATGGTTCTTTCTTCAAAACAAGAGTGGATATGTTTCCTTAACCTCTTCTGAATATAGCCTTTATGAAATAGTTGGCAGGGCATTCACTGATGTTTCACTAGAACATTCAAAGTTGAATTATGGAGTATATAGTCATGAATGAGGTCAGAAAATCTTTTGAAAGACTCACTAGAAATTATCTGTGGTGTTTTAATATAATAATATTGGATTGGCCAAAAAGTTCATTCGGGTTTTTATGAACTTTCTGGCCAGCCCAATATATATTTGGTCTTCATACCCATTTCTGGCACAAGAGTTTCCAAAACTCCAGGAATTTTCTGAGTGATAGGGTTGAGAAGGGTGTTCTTTGTTATTCACGATAAGCCCCTTTCAACCACACTTGAGTCTGTGCTAATGAGCTGACTCTTGGAGGATAGGTGGGGGAAGGGCTGGTTGCCAGAGGCACCAACGGAGTGATTCAAGGGTTGGAACTTTTAATGGAACCCTGCACCTCAAGGAGGGGATACTGGCTGGAGATGGAGTTAATCCTCAGTAGGCAATGGCTTGATCAGTCATGCGTATGTAATGGAGCCTCCACTAAAATCCCTAATTGACGAGGCTTGGAGCACTTCTGGGTTGGCAAACACAGGAAGGTGGTAAAAGGAGGTGGTGTCCCCTCTCCCAATACCTTGCCCTATGCATCTCTTCCATTTGTCTGTTCCTGAGTTGTATCCTTTATAATAAACCAGTAAGTAAACCGTTTTCCTGAGTTCTGTGAGTCCTTCTATCAAATTATTGAACCTGAGGAGGGGGAGGTCTTGGGAACTCCCAATTTACAGCCAGTCCATCAGAAATATGAGAACATGGGAATTGCAACTGGTACCTGAAGTGGGGGCAGTCTTGTGGGACAAAGCCCCTAACTTGTGCGATCAGAAGCTAACTCCAGGTCAGACAGTGTCAGAATTGAATTGAATTGTAGGAGAATTGGTTGGTGTGGGGAAGAAAACTCCACACATTTGGTAAAAACAGAAGTGATGGGGTTAAAAAAGTTCAGCTGCTCTAAGTCCTCTTTTATACTGAAAGTGGAATACATGAGTATCATTAATGGTAAAATAAATAAATAAATAAATAAAGTACAATTATTTATTTAAATATTTGCATTTCCTGTAGGTGAGAAATGAAATATATAGCCAGGAAATTTCTGCATATTATGCTTATAGATAGAGAAAAGTACTTCCACAAAAAATACTCTGGCAGGGAACTTGATTTAGTACTATACATAGCAGCAAACTGATAGGAACTGTCATCAGACCATTGATAAAGCATTGTCTCCAAATCGAGCCTTCCTGCAAACAGTGCTCAGTAAAGCCAAAAAGCTGAACACAGACTGTAACAGTGACATCTGCTGGATACATGACAATGCTACAAAGACAAATGAAAATTTTTTTTTTTTTTTTTTTTTTTTTTGTGCGGTACACGGGCCTCTCACTGTTGTGGCCTCTCCCGTTGCGGAGCACAGGCTCCGGACGCGCAGGCTCAGCGGCCATGGTTCACAGGCCCAGCCGCTCTGCGGCATGTGGGATCTTCCCGGACCGGGGCACGAACCCCTGTCCCCTGCATCAGCAGGCGGACTCTCAACCACTGCGCCACCAGGGAAGCCCACAAATGAGAATTTTAAACTGGGCTTCCACTATAGAAAAATACTGTTCTTCAAACTCCTAAATCAAAGGCAAGATGTCATGTTCCTGACTTCAAGAATCACTGTTTTAATCACACAACTTAAAAGTGGCTAAGGAGAACACCTACCAAACAGGTTTTCTGGGACTAGCATGGATTTAACATGACAGCACCCCATTACCTTGATCAATACAGTGTGAGGCTTACAGAATGCATCCAGCAACTCCCCACAGAAGCAGATCCCTGACAGTAAAACAGAGACTCCACAGCAGTGAGTCCTATATCTGTCATTTCTATACACAGTTATCTCAAGAGCTTATCTAGGGCTTCCCAGGTGGCACGGTGGTTAAGAATCCGTCTGCCAATGAAGGGGACATGGGTTTGGGCCCTGGTCTGGGAAGATCTCACATGCTGCGGAGCAACTAAGCCCATGCACCACAGCTACTGAGCCTGCACTCTAGAGCCCGCGAGCCACAACTACTGAGCCTGCGTGCCTAGAGCGCGTGCTCCACAACAGGAGAAGCCACTGCAATGAGAAGCCTGCGCACAGCAATGAAGGGTAGCCCCCGCTAGCCGCAACTAGAGAGAGCCCGCACATAGCAACGAACACCCAACACAGCCAAAAATAAATTAATTAATTTAAAAAAATGCATTGAAAAAAGAGCTTATCTAAAACTCTCAATATACTTAGGGAAAAAAGTATTTCTTCTAATTAAAACATACACAGACACACACACACACACACACACACACACACACACACACACCATGTATAACTATACAAGCTATGAAACCTCCCAAAATAAGGCTTCTAGGCATTTCACCACTGGGGTGACCATCCCCAAAGGAAATGACAGTCAAAGACCACACCCTCACCTTTTGTGTCTTTGACAATATTCTTTTCAGCATAATGCTCAGATTTCCTCTTTCAAAGAGGAGAACTACCTATAACCTTCAGCAAAAATTTTGGGGTTCAAGCACTGTGCAAAAGACTGAAGTTAACAGCAGATTGGGTCTCCTTCCTTGGTTCAGAGAAGGGAACTCCAGAAGGTGTGACCAACGCTCATCACCTCATTACGGAGGTATCAGCCTTACAGTGCTCCCCTGCTCCATTTCCAGGTTATTCCACTTGACTCTTTAGTCCCATTCTTGGGCTAATTAGTTCTTCTTTTCTGGCCTAGGAACCTACATCCACTCCTGTGTTCAGGTCAAAACATTACTCATATAAGGGTAGAGTTCAATCAGTAGTATGTCCATCTGTGGGGTTATTCCTCCCTCCCTAATACTTAATCCAATGTCTCTTCTCTTCCCCGCATAGCCAGCCTGGGAAGGATTTTTCACCTTCCTTACCTTGCTCATTTTCTCTTGCCTCATCTCTAGCTACGAAGCCTTTCCTGGTAACCCTGCCTTTCCTATAGAATCTTGCTAAGCTGCTCTCTTTTTATTTCTTACCAATTTCCAACTTTCTATATGATAAAATGGAATCACTTCACTCAAGACAGGAAAATGTATTAAGAAGTCTAACAACTCCTCCAATTAGGTTTCCCAATTCACTGTTGATGAGTGTGAATTCAGTTTCACCACCAATCAGCAAAAGTGGGGAAGCATTTCTCCACCAAAGCCCCATGCAGGACGTATGGTCTTGGCTTCTTCTCTCTTTTTCTTAGAAGATACTTCTTTCACTGAGATAGGTATTCTCTCCATAGAGTTGAGGCTAAGTGGAAAGTTGAGAAGAATCCTGGTTTTCTCTGTTAGCCTGGAGCTGATTTAAGGAAATTACCTCTGGCTGGGTTCATGGGCATCTCATGGCAGTTGTGTCTCTGGTATCCCTAGGAATTTACTTGCCCTCTCAGTCTCTCTTTACCGTGCTTCTTTTTTAATGTCTTGAGTTTTTCACCAGTTTTGCCCAAAGCACTGCATTAGGCCCAGCTGAAGGGCCTTCTCCCTTACAGGCTCTATTCCAATGCCTTTACTCAGTTCCCTTTTCAGAGGCTCACAACATTTGTAACTTGCAAGTCAGTAGTTGGTTTAGAAAAAAATTTTTTGGCATGTCAATCATACATCAATAAAGGTTTTTTGTTTTTAAAGTCAATGGTAAGTCCTATTGCCTTTAAGACACTTGAAATCCTCAACACCCCCAATTAACATTTTAACACATAACCCTCAGCCTATCCTCAGCAGTACTCTCCCAATTCATAATCTGTTTTGAAGAAAAGGAAAAAATTTGCCCTAATCGCAAAGCCTTCTCCCTGACCTCTTCATCAAGTGATCTGCAGTAAATGTCCAATCTTGACCATCACAGATAACCTGCCAAAAATTCTTCATGTAGTATTAAACATAAACATACTTAAAACTCAATTTATTTAATATGTTATGATAATTCATATACCAGCAAGACAAGCATAATATTAAACAAAAACAGTATAGTTTAATCCAAAAATAAGAGTAGATGGAATAGGGAGGGTGGGAGGGAGATGCAAGAGGGAAGGGATATGGGGATATATGTATATGTATAGCTGATTCACTTTGTTATACAGCAGAAACTAACACAACATTGTAAAGCAATTATACTCCAACAAAGATGTTAAGGAAAAAACAAACAAACAAAAACCCAAACAAACAAAGAGTAGAAAAGCACTGATCTTTATCATAGGGTTTTAAGTATAACCCCCCACCCCCATGAGGGACTTCATTGTTATTGGAAGATTCCTTCCACCCAGTGAAGTTTCTTTACAATAAACGTAGGGTCAAGGGTTCTTTCAGATACTTTTGGCTGGTGTCCCAGAACTCAATTCACGCTCCTGAGTCCAGGAGCTCTAAGGGTTTTGGAAAAACTGAAGGGCATCTGAATCAGTGACATTATAAGAAAGGATAGGGACCATCCATAATTTTTATTAAATTGACCAGCTCATTCAAGCTCTGTCTAGAAATGTCCCTCAGAAAAACTTAAGAGAAATTCTGTTACATCAGCTATTTAGCATCTACTGCCTGACTACAGTCAACTGAATCTTTCTGAATTTAGTCAAACTACTTTGAGTTTACAAACATAAAGCAAACTGAGTCAATTCAGCAAAATGGTTTGTCTATAGAGATACAGACAGAGATATAACCAAAGAATTAAGGATAAGAAAGATAAGATCTAGACTCTTCTTTCCATTTCCAGGGCTGCTAACTGACATAAATTGTGTTTATTTCCAGTATGAATTAACAGTGGACATGGTGAACACCTACACATATACATATAATTCCAGTCTGGTTATTCATTTAACAGTCCAGACCAGGCACAAATTTAAAATGTTTACCACCTTTTATGTTTCTTTATTTTCATATCTATTTATGCAGCCATTCATTCATTTCTACTAGACTTTTTTTCCCATAGGGGTTAGGGATGGCTTACTTCAAGGATACATACTTAACATTTTTAATTTTGTTATCTTAAAACACCATCTGTTTTATTATTATTTGCAGCACATTTCTATCATTGGACAGGGCTGATATTATAGCCTTTCCTTTAGAGCTAGTACCAATCTCTCCACGGTATTCTGCAACCATGATTGTACTTATGGAATGCAAAATATTATTAACCCTATGACTGACTTCTCTACTGTTCCTGTACCCTTTCAAGAAAGTATGTCCCGAAACACTTGGGCATGACCCAGGTGACTTTAAATGGCTCTACTGCCATCTCCACTGAACTTTGACTTTTCTGGTGATGCACCTTTGATAACAACCAGCTCTACAAATTAATAACCATAAAGGTCCTTTAACAACGCTGGAACATGTTTAGTTGCTCTCCTCTAAGGAGCCAAGGGAAATATATTTCTATTTGTATCTGACTCTTGGGATTTTCCACTGTCTGTCAGTTTAAAGTCTATGGGAGGCTGACAGAGAAAATTAACAGCTGGCTAGAAAGAAGAAAAGTATTTTTATGACTAAAATCAACCGTGCTGGGGAGGAAAGGGCTGGCCAAACTCAATAGATTACAAAAGCAATCCTTTATCCAGAGTAGCTGTCCCAGGGTAACTCAAGTGTCTTGTAATCTAATCCCTGAAGATTTAAACACTCTCACTTACCTCCTAATCATTCACCTCCTTTGTTGGAAAAGCAAAAGAATCTGTATGTTTTACAAAATTGATGGCAAGAAGCCCAGAAACTATGACATAAATGTACCACAGAGTAATATTTGAGCCTAGAGTGATAAATATTTTCTGTCACTGGCATATATTTAATAGAGACAGCCTGTATCTAGTATGATACGGGTAGTACAGTACTTAGAGCTATGGCTAATAATGTGCAACTGTGTGCCATGGAGAAGGAAGTGACTGCAAGAAAGTTGAAAAGGTTTAAATTAATTTGTTTGGGGGCACAAGGAACTACTTGCATAAATATACTCCTGTGGCTTGTGGGTAACCTACATATTCCTATACTCCTATTACACAATTCGCTCTAACGGCTGGAACAACCCCAACTCAGAAAAGGGCAGCGTTGTTCAGGTGTTTGTTATCACAGCTGGCGTGAACTGATGACAGTGACAACAATTCACAGGCACGTGGCACTCACAAGGGTACTTATATTTTAATGTTCACCTCGCATCTTATTAAAATGGAGATTCTGATTCTGCTGTTCTTAGTTGGATCTGAGAGTCTGCATTTCTAACAAGTCTTGTGTAATGACAATGTTTCTCATCCACGCATCACACTTTTGAGTAGCAAGACCTTATAACATGACCAGCGTGGCATTTGAAAAGCAAGTGTCCAGCCCCAAGTTAGAACATTCATATCTTCACTCACATTCACCCAAGAATATTAACACTTGAGTTTCTTTCTCCGCTGACAATCACTTACCTTGTCAGTGAACCCTATAATCCTGAAGCAATGCTGAATTGCTTCAAACTGTCTTCTGTAAGACTCCTTGGAAGTTATGTCGTGCATCACCCTTCCAGTTTCATCAGCTATGTACCTACAGAGTATGACCAAACAGAATGAGCACTGACTTGGAAATGGCACCCCAAATACCAGGGCATCATTGGGCTCCTTCTTTGCAAGGGCATTCCCTTACAGTGATAAAATAATGGTGCACATGCTGAGTAAAATGGTTGCAATTGAGTTTTTGAACTTTCTAGAAAATGCAAAGGGAGATGTAGTTCCTGCCATCTCATGTGGGCATTTCAGCTAAAGGGACTGAGTGTCCAGTTAGGAGAACTGCACTATTTCCAAGTTTTGTCCATTGCTAATTGTATATTCATTAAAAATTAACAACTAAAACCCCCGACACTTACCTAGGAGGCTTTTCCTCAGGAAGTCTGAACTCAGAAAGTGTCTTTTGGTGATAAAGGCCAGCATAAATATAGTAAAATATGTGAAAATTTTTCTCTCCCCTGGAAAAAAAAAAGGAAAGGGACATTACTAACAATATATTCTGGGCTTCCCCACTCCAAGTAATTTATATAGTTTCCTTTCTGTGCAAAATATTATTCTGTAGCAAATTTGCATTTACAGGCAATTAAATATGCTACTTCCCAATTACAGAATAGCAATAGTGATAGGGTTAGTATAGTAACTGCCACAATGTCACACTATTAAACACACTTATGTTTACTATATGCAGAAGGATGTTTTAGAGAATGGAACATTTATAGGTAATAGCTCAGGTTACATATGTTTAGAGATCTTTCCAGAACAAATGACTACGCGTCTGTGCCACTCGTCTTCTGTTTGTAGCCCATGTTGCTTCAGAGACAGTAATGTCCAGCTTAGAGAGATCAGCCAAACTCCCTACTTTACTGAAGCCCAAGACAGGAAGCAGCTAGCCAGGTGTACAGCAAGTTAGGGAGGGGAATTGGTTGCAGAAAAGAGGTGACTACTCTCTCAAACTTGTATTCTCTCAAACATGATTCAAAATGGCTTGCATCCGTCCCCTGGTCTCCTGCTATGCACCCTCTTTTAGGCCACCCTGGCCAGGGTTCTTTCGGATGGGTGCTGCTCTCAGTGTGGTCTGTGGATTGCTGTCAACTATGATAAGACAAGGAACTAGAAAGTCTATGTCTAGACATTTTATAGTAAGTGATATTGCTATGACATCTAAGAGTATGATAATTTTCCTGATAATACATTTCAATTACATTTTACGAAAGTATTGGTTCACAATAGATTGTGAACTACCATTGGGGTGGCCCAAAAGTTCGTTTGGATTTTTCCGTAACATCTTAAGGAAAAACCCAAACAAATTTTTGGGCCAACCCAATATATATATATATATTTTTTTTGCGGTACGCGGGCCTCTCACTGCTGTGGCCTCTCCCACTGCGGAGCACAGGCTCCAGACGCGCAGGCTCAGCGGCCATGGCTCAAGGGCCCAGCCGCTCCGCAGCACGTGGGATCCTCCCGGACCGGGGCACGAACCCGTGTCCCCTGCATCGGCAGGCGGACTCTCAACTACTGCGCCAACAAGGAAGCCCAACCCAATATTTTTTGAAAAAGCTATTCTTTCAGCAAAGATAGTTTGAAAAGCCCTGCTCTACATCTCTTTCTCTCCTTTGGAGGAGGTCATTCTCTCCTGTTGATGCCCCAGGATTTTCTCAAATCCTCACCTTGGCCAACGTAGCTCTGTGGAAGAAACCTGTCTTCCTTCTACTCCTTGTCCCTATCTGTGGCAAGGGCCCCACTCTTTTCTTCAGCATCTCCTGGATATCCTACTCTTCCTCTGGTTGTTCATCCTGTCCAAGCTCTTCTGATACATTCTTAGCTCTGCCCTGTGTTCTAGATGTCTCTACTTGCCATTTTTCACCCATTTGTTCACTCAACTAATAAGCTTATTGAGTGCCAAGCATGGCAGGCACTGCACTAGGTGCCAGGGATACAGGACTCAGAGGATTCACGCCCTCTGGAGCTTCCTTCTAGTGATGGAGTCAGATGAATCAATGGGGAAACTGGTGATGAGGGCTTTGAAAGAAACAAACAAGAGACTGAGATGAACAATGCTGGGGGGTGAGGGCCACTTGTGTCAAGTCAAGGGAAGGACTCTGGAAGGAAATAACACTAAAATCAAACTGTGAAGCATGAGAAGGGACTGGGAGGAGCTACAGAGAGAAGGGGGAGAGCATCCCCAAGAGAGGGAGCAGCGTATACGAAAAGGCTCTGAGCATGATATCCATGTAGAACAAAAGAAGGCTGGTGAGAATCGGGTGGGCAGGTGGGCAGGGTCAGCCCACACAAGGCCTTGTCAGGCCATAATGAGGACTTTGTTGATTATGCAATTAGAATTCTTTGAGGTGTCTTAAACTGTAAGCGTGTGACTAGACTGTAAGAAGTTAAGATGGATGCAAGGAGACCAATTAGGAGGATCTGGTGAGACAGTGAGTGACTGGGACAGGGTAATGGCAGGGATGATGGAGAACAAGGGTAAGCTTAAAGATATGTTTTGGAAAAACAACTAAAAGACTGTCCAGATAGAATGAATGAGGGTGGTGAGGGAAAGGGACCTGGAGGCTGCCTCCCAGTTTTCTACCTTGAGTATCTGGTGATGGTGGCACCATTCACTGAGACGGGAAGGCCTTTACAGGGCCTCATGAACTGGTATGCCCTGCATGAATGCCAGTTGTTCTTCCGCCTCTGGTAGAAGTGCAGGCATGGGCTGACCCATCGTGGTCCTACCTTCCTATAGATTTTTGCAGATACTTCTAGCGCTCAATTCTTCCAAGCTTTGCCTACCGACATCCATCTGGTTGCAGTAACAAACATCCCAAGATCTTAGTGGCTTAACTCAATAAAGTCTTACTTCTTGCTCAGAGTACTTGTCTACTGAGGGTCACGGTGCAGGGGGTGGGGGGGTTGCTCATCAGAGTCACTGGGCCCGAGCTGATGGAGCAGCCACCATCTTGCACTTTGCCAGCACTCTGGAGGGTCTTTCCATTAAATGCTCATTTGCCAGAACTAGTCCTATGACCATATCCAGCCACAGGTTTCCAAGGAGAATCCTACTATGTGCTGGAGGAGGACAGGACCAGAAAGGTCAAACAACTTGCACAGGTCCCATCTTCTCCTCATCCAATGTCTTCAGTCTATTTTATCCATTAGTGCTATCATATTGACTAAATTTAATAATAATAGTAAGTTATGGTTTATTAGGTACCAATTATGTTTCAGATTCTATATTTGGTAAAAATCACATATCATCTCATTTAATTCTCATAACAGCCCTGTGAGGTTGGCTTTATCATGCCCTTTTTGAATATGAGGAAAGTAAGGTATAAGGATAGTTATATTAATAAGTGACATAGCTGTGACTGGAACCCTCCTCACATTTTCCTTATAAAAGACCACTTTACATTTGAACACAGAAAACTATAATTTCCATTCTCTCAGAGGTAGCTCTCTAAACTTTAAAATCACCATGATTTGGGAAGAAAGAAGTAGGGACCTCATAAAAATTAATCGAGACACCACACGGAAGCTAAAATGACTGACTCTAGCCTTCGGTCCATTTGTTTAATTTTCATGTCAGTCCCTATTTTGTGAGGAAACTGCAGGTATATGATAAAAGAAGATGCTGGGGCTCTGAACCTAAAACAAGTCCTGTGGGTTCTACCTGCACAGTATCTCTCAGATTCATCAGCTCCCCTGCATCCCCATCTCCACCGCTACCACCTCAGCGCAGGCTAACGTTCCCGCTCACATGGATTTGAAACCAGCCTCCTAGTGGTCTCAATGTCGTAACTGTACTTCTCGCATCTCCTCCAATCCATTTGCCCCACTGAAGCCAGAGCCATTGTTTCATTATATCAAAATGCAAGTTGGTTTTCGAGACTCCCCTTCTTGAAAATGTCAAATGGCTTCCTATCATTGCCTTTAGAATCAGGTTCCTCAGCCTGGTTCCAAAGCCCTGCATGACCTGGCCTCAGCCTTGTCTTTGCTCCTCTCTCCCTCCTCCCACTCCTGTCCCCATCTCATCTTGTTGGCTCACTCTTAGTGATCCTCAGATTCAACATCTCTTACACAGGGAGCCCTCTCTTCCTGGACTAGGTTATTGCCCTTTCTCCTGTTTTACCTTCATAGCACCTTAACTTTGCTTCCTGGTACTTATCACACTTGGTCTGCATTTATGGTTTTTTGTGCTTAATGCCTGCGATTCCCCTGCCACCCCGTCACCCCGACCCTGGCCACCCACCCGTCCTCCATCCCCATCCACTCCAAGCCCCATGAACACTGGGACCTTGTCTATTTTGTTCACTCTTGCTACTCCAACAGAGAGCACAGCACTGGCACACAGCGGGAATTCAACAGATAATTACTGATTAATGCATGAAGGGAGCCATGCCCCTGAGGAAGTCTGGTGTCCTGCAACAGTAATAACAGTGGCTAACTCTCTGATCACATATACCAACCCACGTGCTTTTAAAAGTCATTTTATATAAACAAACTCACTGATCTTCACAATAAACCCATGATATAGGCTCTAGTAGCATCTCCATTTCACAGAGGAGGCACAGAGAGGATAGGGGACATACCCAGGGTCACATAGTCAAGGTCAGAGCCAGCACCTGAACCAGGGGCAGTCCATGCTATTGGACTATTGCTCTACTGCTGTTCTTAAAACAAAAGGTTTTTTCCTCTCTCCATCTAGGGAAAAAATGAACATGTGGAATATTCTCAGTGCTTTTTTTTTGATAGACAAGCTCAGTTTTAAGGGACCTAATGATTTTTAAAAGTAACTGTATATTGTTAAATTCTACCTGGTATAACAAACTCAGGAAGAACGGGCATACCTATCCCAGTGTAATCCCACCCAGCCCTTTCTACTCTGCTTGTAAACATCTTTAAGGTTAGAAGTCACCACTTATCCTCTGCTTAAATAATTCCTTGCTCTTGGGGAGGCTGGGGGTGGGGATGGGGGGCAAGGATGCTAAGAACAAGGGTGAATGGAGCCATGAAAATTCCCAAAGCCGCCCGGTCTACATTGCAGCGCAAAGCCAGAGCGAGAAAATAGTGCACCTACGCTGCCTGTTTTATAACTCTGGATTTTTCAAGGAGATATTCAGAGATTCTTGCCCCCATCACAGCTCCAGTTGGTGTAAACATCATTTCCAGATATTTTCCAAAACGGCTGGAATTGTCATTGATGGCAGTGCATGCATTTCCAAAGGCTTCCACCAGAGAGTTGACTTGCAGAATTTTCTCTCTCAAGGTCTGATTATTTGCCTGTGCCAAACAAGAGCAGTCAGGAGGAGCCTCCAGAAACATTACTTCAATAGAGCTGCCACGCAAGGTCCACCCACACCACCCAGCCCACAGATTTCACATTTATCCTCTGGGGGAAAAACTCCATTTGGGGAAATTAGCATCAATCACCAGCATTGTTTTCTCCGATGAGCATTTCCCCAGATGTATAAGCATCAGATAAGGCTAGATTAGGTCATTAGGTTTTACAACCAACTACACTTCTCTTAAAATTCTTGACAGATAAAATGCCTGAAGAGCTTAGAAGGAATTTTTTTTTTTTGGTGGTACACGGGCCTCTCACTGTTGTGGAGCACAGGCTCCGGACGCGCAGCCTCCGCGGCCATGGCTCACAGGCCCAGCCGCTCCGCGGCATGTAGGATCTTCCCAGACCGGGGCACGAACCTGTGTCCCCTGCATTGGCAGGCGGACCCCCAACCACTGCGCCACCAGGGAAGCCCAGAAAGAATTTTAAATAGAGAGATACCATCACTTTTCTCAGTTATTCACTATAATATTCAATAAACCTCATCTGTAAAAAATACTCTTAAATTTGTTCTTAGTCTCCTAATACACTAATTCTGAGTATAAGCAACTGCTAGGGTATCTTTAAAGCTAACCCTTTGATGTCCATTTCCCCACGCCGAGAATTTCCATTTCCCTCAACTTTTGTTCAGAGAGCTCTATTTCCGGCCCTTTAATCACCTTAGTGGCGCTCCCTGCTCCTGTTCCAAATGTTTAACCACTTTTACTACTTAATGGCTGAATGTTTGTATTACATTGAAAACATGAAAAATTAATTGCCAATAATCTAGTAAATTGGTGCTGGCATTATTTTCTTCACTATGTGAAAGGTGGAGGACATGCTGACATCTTAAGAGGCCTAGCGATCAGGAGGTGAACATAACAAAGATGGAATGTTTCTATGTAACCCCTAATAAAATCCAGTATTTCCATCATTTCGAAAATACGCAGTCCTCTAACCACGATACAGAAAGCAGGTCGTCAATACCTTTCCCAAGAAAGTCAAATGCTGAACTATCAGGTGGGCGCTTTCCGTCTTCCCAGAGCCACTTTCTCCACTGATGACAATGCACTAACAGAGAAAATGAAGTGTTGGTGAAGAATTCAAAGCACAGTAGACACCCTGTGTGTTCAGCTATGGTTTTCATATAACATCTACCACTGTATACCTTAAATCTTCACTGAGCAATATATCTTAGGAATCTTTCCATTTCAGTACACCGAGAGCTTCCTCAACCTTTTCAGTAGTTTGTCACTCCCTTATACAGATGTACCGTAGTCTATTTAACCCATCCCATATTGATGGATACTTGAGGTTTTCCCGATGTCATTACAAACAATACTGCAATGAATAACCTGATACGTAGGTCATTATATTTATATGCAGGTTCATTTGTAGAATAAATTCCCAGAAATGGGGTTGTTGGACCAAAAGGTAAACACATTTATAACTTTGATAGATAATACCAAATTGCTTTCCTAAGGACTGTATCGGTATATGAAAGTGTCTGTTCTCCTGCACCCTCACCAAATGGCTATGTTGGATTTTTGCCAGTCTGATAGGCAAAACATTATACCTCGGTACAGTTTTAATTTGCACTTCTTTTATTATGAGTGAGATTGGGCATCCTTTCATAAGTTTAAGGTCATTCATATTTTCCTTTTTTTGTGACCAGTCCATATTTTGCCTTTTTTAAAATATATATTATTGGTCTTTTACCATTTGTTTCTAGGAGCTCTTTGTGTGTATATAAAGGAAATTAGTGGGTGTGGTATAATAAAAAAACATATATTTGGTCTTTGTCTCTGGTTCCTGGCACTGAGCTCCTAAAACCCTTGGAATGTCCTGAATGATGAGAGCATCCTTTGTTATTCATAAACAAGTCCCTTTCAACCAACCCTAACTGCTCACCAAGTGGTTCAAGGTGGAGCCCAAGACAGCTTCAGGATGGGGGCTGGTTACTAAAAAGACCAAACACATGATTTAGAGGGTGGGAAATTTCACCCCCGCCACCCCAACTTCTGGGGAGGAGAGAAGGGCCAGAGATTGACTGAGTCATAAAAACTCTTGAACAAGATTCTGAGAGCTTCCGGTGTGAATATGTCGCAGGCCTGGGAGGATAACGCGTGGAAGCTTTACACCACTTTCCTCCCTGTATCTTGTCCTATGCATCTCTTCCATTTGTCTGCTCCTGAGTTGTAACCTTTATAAAAACCCAGTAAACCTAAGTAAAGTGTTTTCCTGAGTTCTGTGAGTCGTTCTAGTGAATTATCAAACCTGTGGGGGGCTATGGGAATCCCTGAATTTGCAGTCAGCCAGGAGGAAGTGTAGGTAGCCTGGGTACCCCATTCACAGCTGGTGTCTGAAGTAGGGGCAGTCTGGGGACTGAGCCCTGAACCTGTGAGGTCTGTGCTAAATATGGATAGTTCGTATCAGAATTGAATGGAACTGAATTGTTAGACAGCCAGTTGGTGTCAGGGAATTGGAGAACTGGCTGGTGTTGGTAAAGACACACATTTAGTGTCAGAGAAAAAGATAACAGTGGAGTAACTTTTTAACTTGAGAAACACATATATCGCTCTTCATTTCCTTCCTTTCTATGAATTCTACGGACATTCCACAAGTCTCTGGGAAAGGTAAGAATGTGGAGAAGCCAAGTTTCTAACACATAGTGAATCCAGGTACTCCATTTCGTAACTGGCACTATTATAATTTCAATCAGCTCCTCAGCAAATCCAAAGCTGGGACTTCACAGGTCTCAGGAAATATACACATTGTGCTGCTCTCATAAAATTTCCCACCACATTAGATTGTTTCTATTTCAAACAGAGTAAAGACAGAAGGGAAAACACACATATTGAAAGTAAAGGAAGGGCCAAAGGTTGGATATGCCACCACTGTGAATCAGAGGTCCAGAAAGTTAAAACGTATGGGTGAGCTTTGTGTTTAACTAGCACTGAGTTTAAGATTTGTTCAGTCTTTACCCAATTCATCACAATTTCTCAGCAGCTAAACAGTGTGGTGCAGAAGCACTATCAACCTGTGTGCAGTATTTCATACAAAAAGGACTGGACCATGAAATTTCTGAGACCTTCACTGGAAAGAACTTCATGTCCGTCATTCTCCATCCCATTTCTATGACAGTCATTGCCACGTCATCAGGTTTGTGTTAGCTCTATGTTCCTATATTCATATTAGGATTATCCTTATTATATTTTCCCAGGGGAAGTGAGTGCCCTTGATAAGGACGTTTCACATTCCTTGAAAAGGGTTTTCACGTTTTCCTGCTACTCTGGCTTTATCACTGTTCCTGTTCCCCTGAGCTACTATTTTACTGCCTATTTCCTTGAGTCAGCACCAGCAACCAGAATGGGAAGTTTTTAGGGAGACTTAAGAGCTGCAGAGGAGGACAGAACGCATCCTACTGTGGGACTCGGTGGGGAAGGGCAGTCAGTTCTTACCTGGTCTCTGTTGAAAGTAACCATGCATTGGTAAGCAGCATCTGCTGATGCAAATATGTGAGGGGGATTTGAGGCACGTTTCACTCCATGATAAAGTCTGGAAAACTGAAAAACGTTAACTTAAAGAACCCTTCTAATGTCCCAGTACCTTTTTGCCCACAAAAGCAAGGCTTCGTCACTTATTAGGAGAATTGTGGCATCAGGGAGGCTGTAGAGCTGAGGCTCTGGAGTCTATAGAGCTGACTTCAAATCCCAATTCTTCACTTACTGGCTTCCTAAGCTTGTGGAAGGGCATTAACTTCACTATGCTAAGTGTCCTCATCTGCCAAATAGGCTTAATAACGTTACCTGTCACACAGGTTCGTGAGAGATAAACAAGGTAACCCAGTGCCTGGCATATGGTAAGCCCTAAATAAATGTTAGCTGTTTTGTTACATATTAACTTAAAAAGTTACCCCCCAAATGTAACAATTCCATCTGTGTTGCATTATTATCTTCAGTTTGGGGTATGTACACCCCTAGGATGACATAGTTTTATTCTCATTTTTTTCTCCCTTTTCATTTTCCCTTGAGATTTCACAGTTCCTATTAAGGAGCACCATGCTCATAAAGGATCCCTTACCTGTGGAGAGTAGATGTTTAGATTCTGGAAGGGGTTTAAGGCAATTAAGATGTCTCCAACATATGTATAGATCAGTAGGTCCGCATAACGCTTCTGCAACTGATGAACAATTGTATCCTAAGAAGAGGATAAATGGTACTGAGAGTAAACACTATTTCCAGTCAAGGGAGTGATCCTAAGAATAACAACAAATGTATTCTTACGAGAATATTTTTCTCTAAGACATTAAAATAGTCCCTTTAAGTCATGCCCTATTGATTAGGATCCTAATCGTTAGGACCCTAATGATCCTAAACGCAGATATTTGCCTTGAAAAAAGAAAAAATTAGGAATATGCTAAAAGAATTTGGCCCATTTAGGACTTGCTAAGAGACTCTGACATATGCAACAAAGATTTTGTCTGTTATTATGAAAAACATGTCTCACCCAACCAAAATGTTCTATTTAGAAATTGATTTAATAGGTCATTACTATTAATAAAGTACAGACAAATTGTAACTTCATTTCTCAAAGCATTACACTTAAAATTTATGTGGTGGGAATGCAGAATTGAACACTTTTATATCACATTTTAGTGATTCATGCATTGCAGTTAAGGGTCCCCAGAGTTAGAATCAGCAGAAGCAGCTCCAGTGCAATTAACAGCTCTATTAAACATGCATATTTTAAATGGGGATTATCACAGTTTCCAAATTTAGAATTCAAGCTATATTAGCTTCACTATTTCCCTAAGTGAAGCTCCTCTTTATGAAGAGCAAACAACTATCTTAATTTAAGGGTTAAGTTGCACTTTTCTATAAACAGAAAATAATTTCAGCCGATCTAATACATCATTTAAGCCTACAATATAAAGGCCTTTACGGGAAAAATTCAAATCCTTTTCTCGTCATCATTCAGGACATTTGGGGGACTATAAATGCACACAACACCGGATCATAGTCACAGCAACCAAATGTTCCTGAGCTTCACCCCAAGGCTATACAAACAATTAAAGTTTCAAGTGACCTTAGGAGAATATGATCTACAACAGAAAGGTCACACCACTCGTGTGAAACAAATGTCATTGGTGAAAATTGTCTATTAAATATTTAGTACCTCATCCAGAACCTCGAGATTGACCAAATCATCCTCAAGGCAGTATTTTTCAGCATCTTCCACATGGTAGGGTCTTCTGGTATGCATCCTTTCATGCCTAGAAAATATAGCAAAAAGTAGGCAACAAGAACAACTCAGCCACAGTCTTACCACACAACGTGTTCAGAGACTTCAGAGAAGGGACAGGAAGAGAGAGTCCAGTCCAGGTCCCCAGCTCTCTCCCCATCACTTCAGGGCCCCCCGGGGGGAAGGGGAGCTCCAGAGCTCAAGCCTTCCGCTGCCATGAGGAGCACAGCCAAGTGGGTCCATCTAACACTTATATCTGCTTTTCTTACGTGCCAACCACAGCACTTCCTTGCATTGTTTTCTGTTCAGTGTCAGGCATGTAATTCTCATTAGGGTACTTCCCTTGAGGTCCCCTCCTGCTGTCCACCAGCACCACCCCACACTTCTTGAGAAATTTTTGAAACTACAGAAAACTTCAGAGAATAATATAGCAGATACCAACGAATCGATAAATGCTTACATTTTATCTTGTTTATTTTAAATCCCTTTGGGACCCATGTTCCATCCCACTCCCCTTTCCTGAGTGACCACTATTTCGTGGGTATCCTTCCAATTTAAAAATATTGGTCATACACATATATGTACCCATAATACACAGATTTGGTATGTTAAATTATAAAAATGATATCATACTGGTGGTTTCATTTTGCAAATTTACTTTTTTTCCATTCAACATCATGATTCCCCACCCCCTCCTTCTCCCATCTCTCTCTCTCTTTCTATATATATATATATGGACCTGTGATGATACTGGGCATAAAAGGTGACAGGGATAGACACACAGACATACATACATAGAGAGAAAGACAGGGAACAAGGGAGAGAGAGAGAGAATGAGAGTGAGTGAGCAAGTGACTGTCACTTTAATCACTGGGTAATATTACATCATATAAATATGTACCAATTTCTTTATTGGTCTTGATCAACATTTAGGCTGATTCCAACTTTTTGCTACCAAAAACAAAGCAGCACTCAAGTATCTTTATGTGCATCTCCTTGTGTACGTATGTGAGATTTTCTCTTGGGAGTGTACTCACCAGGCATTAAAAAAACTTCCTGCCTATTAAATTAAGTTACTTCCTAATCCCTATTATTGATAGATTTGAAGAAGGAGTATTTTAAGCATGGTATTAGTCATCTCCAGTGCTAGAACCAATTTTGCTGCTAATTCATATAAAAGTCCAAAGTAGATGAAACTTAATTTTACTTAATAAAGTCAAATTTATAACCTAAGCATTTTAAAATTATTATTAGAACAGTTTATTCATCTGTATTCTAACATATTAGTGATGTCAAAGAAAAATCATATCTGTTTGAAAAACAGCTTTTCTTAAAAACTCAGAGCTGCTTCTATCTAGCCACTTTGCCAAATGAAACAGCAGGAGGGTACACATTTCTGGCCAAATCCTCTTCACATAAAACCCAAGCATTTTTTTCCTTTGAAGTTCCCCATAAAACAAAATATTGCAACATATTTTTAATAAATTAAATTCTCATCATATTAAATTCAGCTAGCTTATCTCCTTCCTAAATTTATATCTTGCAATCGTATGAAATAGTCTATGTTAGAGTTTATTTCAAGCATCTTTTGACAAAGAAAGTCAGGAATTTTTAAAAAATCCACAGCTCTGGTTCGGGTCAAGATGAAGCAAGCACTCTCCATTCTGTCTCTCCATTGAATGCAACTAAATACCTTGGACAGAATGCATGGTACTCTGAGAAGTATATGGTAACAGGCTGACCGGGGGAATCAGAATTCAAAATATCACTGAGTCAAAGGTGAGTTTCCTGAGATTTTTTTTTTTCTTCCAGTAACTCCTGACCGGGACTTGAAGTCAGCCTGAACTGCATATAGGGATGTCAAGTTGCACGCTGGATGACATTTTTACAGCCAACTAAAAGTGGAAGCATTGACAACCTCACTTGCAATATCACAAATAAACTCTAGTAGAAAGTCGTGACTATAACTGTGAACATGTACAATGCAATACCACCAGGATCGAAACTGTTATCTTCTGAACCCTGAAGAGCTTATCTGTATATCTATCTCACAGATTTAACCTCCAGGAATCATGCAGATGCTGTCTGCAAATCTGAGCTTGCAAGGTATTTCCACTCTGATACAGATCACTTCATTTTCTCACTCAGGGAAAAAAATATGTATTCCAGCCCTATCTCAGTATTCCCCAGCTAGTGTTCTTCTGAAACTGCTACCTGCTTCATTTTCCTGCTTTGGCTATAGTGTTTGGAGAGAATGAAGAGAAAAAAATTATTTATTCCAATTTTTATCTTTTTTAATTTACATTATCCTAGAGTACATATATTTATTAAAAGTGTTACATTGTTTTATATTTGTCTATTTTTAGTTGAAATTAATCAAAAGAAATTTGGTTTAAATTTTTTTAACAGTTTTCTTGAGATAAATAATTTGTTGTCACCAGTAACCATCAACTTAAATTTCCTTTAAATTCACATGCTCCACCTAGTGCCTTACTTGAGAATAGCATCTATTATCAATTCTTGCTGAAGAATTCCTTGTTTAATGTGAAAATTACAGATTTCCAACTAAAAACTTCGGATTGAGTATTCCAAAGCTTAGAGGAGTGGAGAGATAGGTAAATGGTTGGATAAAGCAAAAGGCATTCTATTAAATTAAGAGTATATGGTAAGGTATTATAGTTTTGATGATTTAGAAGATATTTTCAAATCCCAACAAAGTCTATACTGCTTTTTGCTAGATTTTCTATTTGTTTTCATGAAGCCCTAAGTATGTTGTCTGCCAAGCCTGGTTTCCCAGACAAATGGAGTTTTGGGGTTAAAGCTTAGAGAGGATGAGACTCAAAGCCCTGGCTTAGGCTGGTTCTTGGAGTTTGGGTTTGGTGTGGTGTGGGGCAGGTAGTGGTGAGAAGGGTTGACCTAAGGATTCAGAGATCAGGAAAAGGGGAAACTGGTGTCTGAGTCCCCAGTTCAAGTAAGGTGGGAATGAGGGCAATTCTGAAACATCAGGTCTAAGGCAATGGGTGGAGAATAAGAACTGGATCTTAAGAGTCGGTGAGACAGAGCCAGAGGTGGAGACTGGGAGCTCCCCTAAAACAACAGTGGGCACAGATGAGATAGAGGATGGGGGATTTGGGGGATGTCTTAGGTCCAGCCCATGAGGGGGGAAAGAAGCTGTAGAAGGTACCAGGTTTGTTCAGACACTGGGGGAATAAAGTCCTAAAGTGCTGTTGGCTTCACTATAATCTAATCTCTATACCTGCATTATGGTTAAAACCATTTCTGGGAGTTCTCTTTGATATCTCATCACTGGGCCTGCAGACTTCTTTGTTTGAGCTACTGGCCCTATGAATAATATTGACAAAATATTATATATTTTGTCCAAAAGTGATTCCTTAATCCCTTAGCCTGTTCCTGTCTGTCAACTTTGCCTGTGGAAGCAGTTAACATCCACGTAGGTAGGTCCACACAGGGCTGCAGGAGCTTCACGTAGGTATGGCAGGAGGCATTCTTCCCTTCATGCCCAACTATGTTGAAGAACAAAGCATAGAAGGAAGGCCTCTAAATTATAATTCAAGGGTAGGAAGGAAACAAAATCTTTATTTTGTAAGAACAGCCGGTTCTTATTAGTTGCCCATTTTATACACATCAGTGTATACATGTCAATCCCAATCGCCCAATTCATCACACCACCACCCCACTCCCTGCCGCTTTCTCCCTTGGTGTCCATACATTTGTTCTCTACATCTGTGTCTCTATTTCTGCCTTGCAAACCGGTTCATCTGTGCCATATTTCTAGGTTCCACATATATGTGTTAATATACGATATTTGAAACAAAATCTTTTAGTCTAAAAATGACAGGGGATGTGCTAGTGAGAGGTGAAACTCTGCACTGAAAAGTGCCTGATGGTCTTTTAGACGGTCGTCCTATGGCAGGAGGACCATTGGGAAGGCCACCTCTACCTCCACTCCTCTACACTCAGGATCAGAGCCCTTCCCTCCATCCAAGAGTGGAACCAAGAGTGGAACCGGAAGGAGTGGAAAATGACTAACACTCCCACCAGATTCCAGATAAGTAAGTAAAATCTGCTGGGGGCGGAGAAAAAAGGAGTAAAGAAAAGGAGTAAGGGAGAGGGTCCAGGATCAAAGGTGGTGGTCCTTACGAGTCTAAGACAAAGGCTTCTGAGGCCACGTACAAAGCTCAGGAACAAGTTGACAATCTGGATAGATTAAAGGAACCATTCCCTTATCACCACATTCAATGGATCTCATATAGTAAGGAAAATGTTACTCAAAATTGGGGATAGAGTACTATTACTCCAACAAAGGTAGTGATGTTGAATATTTCTTCCAAATCATTATTTCCATTTCAGTGTACCTCTTGATAACAGAGTGGATGAAAGAGAACTTTACTGTAATCACATAATCATGGACCTAGCATGAGGAAAATAACGGCAAACCATCTAGGTGTAACACCATCCTACTGAGATCCAAATATGAGTAAAGTTACCACCTGGATAACTTTAACTACATGAGCTCGATCTTGATCTGAAATTTAAGCTTATATTTATCAAACAAACATTATAATACACAGATTAAAAATACAAGAATTATTTGGGTGGAAATCTCTATAGTATCTCCCTGTTTTTTCATCCAAGCATTGTTTTTGACCAGAATTTCAATAGATCAGCATCTTATCAATTATATTAAGTGTATTTGATATAGCTATCTTCTCTAGGCAGCAAGAATCAGTGACACCAGCAGAAAATTAAATATTAATTCACTCATTCAGTTACAGATAGAGAGAGATAGCAGATTACATCAGGGTATAGATTTATTTCTTGTCTGTTAGGAAAACAGGAAAATCCGTAACCTGCTATGTGGCAAGCGCCTTCAGCATTTGATGAAGTAATCATTCAAGTCATTCATTTGCACAGGATTCCAAGAACCCAACAGTGTATGTAATGTGATGTATGTGTATATATGTGTGTGGGGGGTGCATGTTTGCAGGTAAAAGAGGAAGCGAGAACAAG